GGATCTGTGGTCGATCAAAACTCGGCAGCTCCATCGTGATAACGCATCCGCCCATTCTGCGCATCTGATTTGGGCTTTCGTTGCCAAACACAATACTCCTGTGGTTCGTCACGCTCCGTACTCTCCCCACATGGCTCCGTGTGACCTTTGGCTATTTCCCAAGCTGAAAATGCCACTAAAAGGAACCCGAATTTAGTCGAGAGAAGACATCGTGCGAAATCAGACGGACCAGCTGATGGCCATTCCAAAAGATGCATTCCAGCAGTGTTTCCAGCAATGGCAGGAACGCTGGGATAAGTGTATACATTACCAAGGAGACTACTTTGAAGGGGATTAGGGTTTCGTAGCTCAAAATCAATAAATTTATTTTTGCCGACCAAAGGTCTGATACTTTTTGAACAGACCTCCTAGTGTTTTACATAATAATGTCAAATTTCACACAAGTTTGGTAACTCGTCAGAAACTGTTATAACTTAGATGGGACGTGCTATCACACCAACCGTATTCACCAGATCGAGCACACTCAGATTATTACTTGTTCCGGTCTGTACAATTTTTTTTAACTAAGACATTTACTTGAAATGACAATGTCAAAAATCACTTGGATCGGTTTTTTGTAAGCAACGATCAAAACTTTTATGAATGTGAAATCGTGATACTACCAGAAACGATGACAACAGGTATTTGACCAAAATGGTCAACATATAATTCAATAAAATAATTTATTTATCATAAGAATATTGCATTTTTTCCACAGAAAAAAAACGAACTTACTTTCCGAACAACTTAATATTACTGAATTTGGATTGTGCAAATACAACATATTAGATTTATGAGCATGTATTTTGCTCAAAAATCTAAATCTATCTCAAATCATTTTTATTTTTGATACAGTAGCTGATCTTGAATAAAATATAACTTATCAAATAGATTCCAAAATGACTTCTGCAATGTAATAGTAAAGACAGACAATATCCATCACATGGCAGTTGTTGGTTGAAAACCCTCTAAAGGCAAGCAGATAAATGATTTTACAAGATGATACAACAGATAAATAAGTTTTTGTACTATGCATGTATATCTTGTAATAATAATTTTATTTGTTTACAAATTATTATAAAATAAAAAAATTAGTATATGAGAAATAACATGTTAAACATTCAAAAATGACTGGAAAAAAAAAAAAAAACAATAAAAAAATGTTCTAAAATTAGAATCTCTAACATTCTGCAAAGTTCAATGCTTGATGCAAGGCCCTAAAAGAGGCTGAAAACATTCCATTTTATATTTAATTCAAATACATATAATTGCTGGAAATGTGTATGCATGTTGTTTTTAAATTAATTTATCTGCATTCCAGCTGTTAGAGACTTTTAAGATACAGCTTTATTTTTCACTTCAAACATAAAACCATATCTTTATTTTCAGCTATGTAATTTAGATATTAAAAATAATTTTAAACATTCTATTTATTACATTCAATAAATGTAGAAATGCCTTAAATATCAACAATTTTGGTTGAAACTGTTGACTACAGGAGAATTAAAATAAATACAGTACAATAAAATTTGTAACCAACACCATAATGTTATTAACAAATTTTATAATTTTTTAAAAGTTATTGAAAATCAGAATAATTTCCTAACATCTCTTATTACAATAATTTAATTTAAGATATGTGGATAATAAATTAGAAAAATTTCAATTTTTGAGCTAACAACACTTTTTTTTTAATGTAGAATAAAATAACTTTATATATATTGCATTATTTGATCATAAATTAATTTAACTTAATATATATTTTAGAAAAATTTGTGATAATATAGAAAATACACTGGACGACAAAAAAAATAACGCACCATGAAGGACTTGTTAGATCTGAATAAAAATTGATATGTTGCATCATCTTAGCTAGATATGTAAATGATTAGCTTTTGAGAGTAGGTTCTTATGTTATATCGCCACCAGAGGGGAAAAAATGTTTCCGCTGCCTGGTATAAAGGTGCACGCTGTGACGACTTGTGCATATGTTCTGCACTTTTATTCATGGTTTTGACTTCATTGAGTGACAGACATGCCTCTACGACGCATTCGACAGCCTTACACTCAGTTAAGTGAGTTTAAGAGAGGTCGCATTGTTGGATTGAGAGGAAGATGGTCATACTGCCGGATTGGCCGCCATCTGAACCGTTCTGATAGAACTGTTAGGATGTGTTATGAGCAGTGGGTAAGTAGGGGTACACACGAACGGCAAACAAGTTCCGGACGCTATCGACAGACCACCAGAAGGGAGGATTGTCTCATTGTACGTCAAGCACGGACAGCGCCTACAGCTTCATCGTCTACCATTCATGCAGTAATGGCACCTGCATTACGGAACAGTGTATCCAGCCGCACCATTTCCAGGTGCTTAGTAGAAGGCGAATTGATCTCCCGACGCCCAGTATGTGTTCTACCGTTAACAGCCACCCACCGACGCCTCCGTCTGCAGTGGTGTCGTGCATGACAATCGTGGACCGCTACCGACTGGCAGCATATTGTGTTCAGCGACGAATCCTGCTTTTGTTTGGGGGCTCACGATGGCCGTGTGAGAGTATGGCAGCCCGCTGGTCAAGGTGTCAATCCGGCCTATACCGTGGAGCAGCACACGGGCCCAACCCCCAGTGTTATGGTGTGAAGAGCCATAACATACGACAGTAGGACACCTCTAGTTGTCATGCGTACTACCCTCACAGCCAAACGATATGTGCAATACATCCTCCAGCCACATGTGTTGCCCTCATGGCAGGGCTTCCGACAGGCATATTCCAGCAGGATAATGCCCGGCCACATACTGCAGCAGTCTCCCAAGCATGCCTACATAACGTTTCCACACTTCCTTGGCCTGCATGATCTCCAGATTTATCGTTAATCGAACATGTGTGGGACCACTTGGGTCGCCAGCTGCGACAGCCACAGGATCTGACTCATCTTGAGTCCCAATTGCATCATGCATGGACAGATATGCCTCAGAACATTATTCGCGATCTTTATGCCTCCATGCCAAGGCGTATCACAGCTTGTATCCGCGCTAGAGGCGGCCCAACAGGATATTAGTTCCTGCACTGTATTGCATATTACTGCACAATAAAGTATGTTTTTGTTTTATAGTTGCAATCATATATCTGTCTAGCAATGACAATGTCATATACCAATTTTTATTCAAATCCAACAAGTCCTTCATGGTGCGTTATTTTTTTTGTCGTCCAGTGTATGTTCAATATGATAAATGTTAAGCTAATTCAGATTTTTTTCTTTGATTATAATCACATCATATTATAATTACTAACAACAAAAAAAAAATCTGTATTATGTTCTAAGAAAGAAAAAGAAATAAGAAAAATGACTTACTTATCTCGAGAAATACTAAACCAATACTCTCTTTTCAGTCGTTTTTTATGATAATTTAAAAAAGGGCTAGATTTTGCAACTTTTTTATTAACGGGATGACCCATTCTCAAGCAGAGATATAGAGGTGGAAAACCACTTGTTGCTGGTCTTACTAGAGGAATGATTTCTGTATAAAGAAAATTTATCTTAAATATAAAAATATAACAATTATAAAAATTATATCTTATTACTAAATTATAAATTAGCATATGAAATTTTCTGATTAGAAAGTAAAATATAACAATAGATACATCAACTCAATTCAAATAGTAATGCCAAGTGAACTGCAGGATTATTTATCAGGCTATGACAAGGCTAATTGCTTTGTACCTAAACATTAAATTAGTCTTGTTGCATCCTGATAAATAATCCAATAGTTCATTTGGCATAAAGTTTACATTAATTGTCCTTTCTAAGGTTAGAATTCTATTTGAATAAAACTTCATTAGATTACTATAAAAACATTATGACAGAGTTCCCACAAATTTTTGAAGTCATTATTATTGACATTTGCAAATCAGTTTTTAAAAAATTTGACTTGGTAGATATTGTGCAATTGCATAATTTGCAAAAGTTTAATATTTTTTAAAAATTATTTTGCCTTAATTTTTTATTCTAATTTTATAAAGTAAAAAGTAACAATACAGAACTTTAACAGAAATAAAATTGCAAAAATATAAATGTATCAATATTTTATGAAGTATATGATATCAAAACAATTAAGAAAACTGATCATCATTCACAATGACCAGGTTTTTATTACAGAACTACATAAATATAAAAGAATACTGAAAAATAGTTATAAAAAAAAAGATTAAAAAGTTAGATTATAATAGAATTTCATAACATTGTACTTGTTAATAATATGAAACATGTAACAGAAATTACAATATTTGTGAATAAAATATTCAATTCTTCTAAAGTTTCTTACTCTCTAATCTTTTCTGCAACTAATGCTTCCTCCACTTGTGATTTTAACCTCAACTATTTTCCTTCTTTTTCAAGTTTCTTTTTTTAATTTCTAACTGGAGTTCTCTTTTCAGCAGTCTTTCTTTTCTTCTGTAAACTTCCTTTGCTTTTCTTCAAGAAAGTGCTCATAATGTCTTCTGACAGATCAAGAGAAGAAGAAGAACTTGTAAGTGATTGGTATTTCTTTCCTGTCTCTAGCATCTATCACATCAAACTTTTTTCTGGGCCACAATGGTACAAGTGTTTTCGTGCTAATTTTCAGCAAGAATTTTTAATAAATATAATTGCCAGGACAATAATAAATATAAAAATATTCACAGTTAGAACACATCTTTACATTTGGTCCTTATTCGACACCCCAGGAACACAACAGTCTTCATGGCAGAACCAACCTTTTATTTGAAGATACTTATAATTGTGAATATTCTTATAATTGATTTGTTTATAAAAAATCCTCTTTTGACAGTTGTTTCCATATAAAAATACCAGACTCACTTTTACTACTACTACCCAAAAGTGTACATATTTTTTATTGTTGAACAAAATAGAAGAATAGAAATCATCTAATCTAAACCTGGGTATTTTATGGCCTGCCTATGGTCACTCACAAACAAGAAATGTAAATGAAAAACTAGTTCCTGCTGTGTATGCGTGACTTATGTATGCACAGGTATGTGCAGATGAATGCTTACCGACAGGCACTCAAAATGTCAGATCATAAAAAAAAAAAAAATGATACCAAATGCCACATTTTTAACAAGGTATGGACTGCAAAATATTTATTTACAGAAGTCAACAAAAAAGTTGTGTGCTTAGTTTGTGGTTGCAGAGGTTGCACTATGCAACCAAACATTCAGAAAAATACAAGAACTTGTCTGATGAAGAGCAGGCCAAGGAGTCAGATGCTTTGCTAGATAAACTGCAAAACCAACAAGGATATTTTTTTGCAAACTTCACACATCCAGGAATGCAGCTGCCAAGGCAAATTATGTCATATCCCACAAAATCACTCGAAACAGTAAACCCTTTCTAATGGAGAGTTTATTAAAGCGTGCTTGGTGGACTCTGCAGCACTAATCAGTCTAGATAAAAAGTAAGCTTTTGGGAATGTTCCCTTCCCAACACACTAACGAGAAGATTGTGGACATTGCAGGAGATTTGAACCTTCAGTTGTAGCACAAAGCAGTCAACTTTGACTTTTTTTTCCTTGGCTCTAGATGAGAGCTGACACCAATCACATACAAGATTGATTTTCAATCATCTACATCTATATATGTATATATGGAAAAATAAGATCCAGACTCAAATGCAAAATATGGTGCTAAATGAGATCTATAGAATATATCTACAAAGTTAAAAAATTTACTATAAAATTGGAAGGAAATCTGAGTATTACATATATGCACTTGTGTGTAAAAAAACTGTCTTAAAGCTTTTGGAGTTAACAGTAAAAATAATTGCAAGTGCTTTCTATTGATAACACCCAACATATCACAGAAAATTATAAAAGCAGCAATTCTAACAAACTATTTATTAGAAAAAGACCATGTACAAAGTCTTAGTTGGAATTAAACATATTAGTGACTGCTTGCAGACAAAGTGCAAAATCTTGAGTGGCGAGGTTGTCATACCTTTGACACTGAGCAAAGTCAAATCAAAACTAAAATCAAAAATAAAAAAAAAAACACTAATAAAATTCTTGGTTCTCATTTGATTCAAATTTCCTTGCTTGTGTAGATTTTTTAATTCTTTTTCTTGACTAAAATAAAAAAGCCAGACTTTTCTTGTTTGTGGGAACCCCATATGATCTCATTAAAGTATTATAGAATTCTTTTTAGCAATATGTTCCAATTATAAAATAAAAACAATTGAATTTTTTTGTACTACTTTCAAATTTTAAGACTTATTACTAAACACATTTCAAAATGTTACATTATTATTTTATGACTTACTTAACAACAAAAATACATAATATACAACAATCTAGACTAAGATTGTTTTTCTTGGCATATGTAAGATAGGAGGAATGAAACATTGAAATATTTTCATAGATACAATTATTATGAAAATTTTAAACATTTTTATACAGCCAGGGTGGCCAAGCTCCTTGATAGTCCGAGCCATTTTTCAAAATTTGAAATTTTTCGCGAGCCGCAATTAAATACGTATTAAAAGGTATGCAAAAAATTCCAGAATACAAATTATATCCATAACAAGACTAATACAAATTGTTTCCTCCAGAGCACAATGTCAACTGTCCATTGCAATGACAGTTTACAAATTCAAAATCGGTCTGGAGTTGGTTGATAACAAATGATTATGCCACTGTTTATGTTCATTCACGCAGTTTTCGATGAGTCATATCATTCTTAACTTGGACGGAAATGAAATTTGTTAGACTAAGTGCAATGTTGTAACAAATTTCATTTCCGTCCAAGTTAACCAAGTTTGTTCCAACGTTGTTACAACGTTGGAACGTTGGAATTTATCGTTGGATCGTTGCAATTTATCGAGAGCCACAAATAATCCTTCAAAGAGCCGCATGTGGCTCGCGAGCTGCAGGTTGGCCACCTGTTATACAGTATAAAACTTTTTAATATACTATTATACAGTAAATATATTTTTACACTGTGCGTTCAATATTCAAATAATGCATGCCTCGCACTTCTAAAACTGCAATGTTTTAATTTCTTTACTTCCACAAAATTCACAAATTAACTTCCAAAATTAATTGTATTTTCTAGATTAAAATTATGTTCAACTATGTTAAACTGAATAAACAGAAAACACATTTAAAATACAACACAGGATTTGATGTAGAAATTATTTAATGTATAAGTTGAATTAAGATAAAAAAACAAAATTTTAAAGTTTGGAATTATTTACAAATAAAACAATTATATTGCAGTAATAGCTTATAAGTGTTTAGATGTATTTATTATGCCCTGCTGAGCATATCTATATATAGTGTTTATAGGTTTAGTCATGCAAATATGTAGATTGTCTACAGATAGGCATGCTTTTTGTATGATGTGCATTTGCACAAATAGAATGACCAAATAAATCTGTCAAATATAATGAATATCAGAAAAAAGGTGATTAAAGTCATTCCACAATTAAACATTTAATTGTGAAAAAAATTATGCTAAATAGAAACATTGATTTATAACAAAATTTAAACTGATTCCTAGTGTCTTTTGTCATAATATTGCACAGACTGAACAGTTCAGGTGGCCCTGCAATCACCAATGCATTTTTACAAGAAGAAAGAATGGCATTTTTAAAAGAGAAAACAGCATTCTAATGGTTAAAAAAATTGCATGATTAAAAAAGCAAAGACTTAATACTGCGCATGCAATTTTCCAAAATAGTCCTCAACACTCTGCATTCACTCTGCTTCAAATAAACTTAAACTTTTGAGTTCCTAGATATGCTAAGGTTTTGGATAAATGCCCCCATTTGTATTTGTACAAAGTGCAAACTGTAAAGCCTTGAGGCCTGACAATTGACCACACTTTGCTGCTTTTGTGATTGATATCTTACAATGCATTAGATACAAATTATCATTATCTGAAATCACATTTGTTTTTCAGATAAGACTAGTTTTCACATCTTTGAAAACAGATAATGTCCATGGGAAAGTGAGAACCCAGATATTTTAAAGAAATAGTCCAAGAGTTAACATTTTGTGTAGCCTCATGCATAACAGGATTATTAATTTTTTCTGAGTCCACAATTACAGCAAACATGTATCTGGACATGGTTTTTTTGTAGTACCTCAGTTTCAGCCATGGATGCTGTTTCAACAAGATGGAGCATCAGCACACTGAGGATTATATACTTGTCAATTCCTACAAGCAATTTTCCCAATCAATGGATTGGGAGAAACAGCAGCATTCAATCTCAATCACTGGATGTAACAGACTTTTTAATGAGGATATGTTAGAGATTTTTGGTAATACAAAAACTCTGAATACAAGAATAGCAGAAACTACATCAACAGGCTCTGAAAACCATTGAAAAAACCACGAAGAAATTGCATAGTGACTATGCAATTTCCAAGCCACAAATGCAGCACACATTTAAGTTATACTAACCCAGTAAAAAACTTTGAATTGACCTTTGATGAAAAATACCTAGTAAGAGTTTTTATACAATAAATACTTTAATCTGAGAAAGATTTTATGACTATCTTGTACTGTACTGTACATAAACAGTGAAAATGTCCAGTACATATACAGCATTTGGCAAACAATTATAAAACATACTATTTCTTTGTAAAAAGGGCTGGCAGAAGTACAATTTAATAAAGTAAAAATACATTACAAATGGATACTAGTCTACTTTTCACTGCTTGCCATGTCCAATCACTGGGAACAACTATTTCCATTGCAGAGACAACCTTTCTTTAGAGGCCCTTTTTACAAAGAAATAGTATATTTTTACTTATGTTGGGATTGTCACCTGAGGACATTTAAACTGTTTTACATATTTGAGCAGAGGCAAAGCCTCTAAAAAAAAGGTTGTCTCTGCAATGGAAATAGTTGTTCCCGGTGTTTGGACATGGCAAGCAGTGAAAAGTGGACAAGTATCCATTTGTAATGTATTTTTACTTTTTACTAAATTATAAAACAAGTTGTAGTCTTATATATGAGTATAATATTAGTAAAATGCTATTTAAAAATCATTAATGGCTATCGAGCAAAAGTTTTTGTAAGAAAGGATTTAGCGAAGTTCACTACTTACCGTCCAACGATTCAAATAGATGAGATTTCATCGTATCATCCAAATTCATGCAGTTAAATGAAGATAATATCGAAGACTTTAATTTCCGAAGGTCAGAATTTTCTTCATGACTTAAAGTATAAGACTGACTTTTATTTGCATCTATATGATTTAAATCTTTAATTTTACTTTCTTTGTTATAGTCATAATTTGTTCTTTCTGAAGTTAACTTTGATTGTTGTACATGAGATTGCAATGGGAAAGAAAATTGTTTCGATATTTGTTCTTTAATGGTCTCTGTTTGCAACCTTTCTAAAGGTTCACAGCAAGAATTAGCCCGATGTACTTTTAACAGACTATTTTTATCTTGGTCAGATTTTTTTTTACTATCAGGCATTTTTTCTACAACAGAACACACTTGCTCTTTAACGTTATCTGAACTTTTAATTTTACGTATCCTGGCTAAATTTTCATTATCTGCTTTGTTTTCATCAGATTCATCAGATATTCTTGCACTTTCTTTCAAATTTAAGGATACTTGAGAATTAGAGTTATTAGCACCAGAATAACCTTCATCTTTCTGAGAAGGAGTAGGTTTTGGTTTTACATACATTTCAGGCTTAGGAATATTTCTTCTGAAATAAAATATTAATATTTCAGTAAAATATATGATTAAAATTTTAAAGTTTTTAGTAAATTAAAGATCTGGACAGTTTAGATATTATAATATACGAAAACTAACATTAACACATACACAAGGATGCAAAAGTTCAGAACAAAATCATTTAAATATAAAAAACTCCAGCAACAAGTAAACGGCAACATTTAAAATTTGGTGGTACTATTTGTTATATTTATTAAAAAGACTATTGCATTATATAATACAGTAGATTCCCCTATAAAAGCGTTTCCTATAGTTATGATTCCTATAAAAATTGTGGCATTATCCGTAAACAACGGTAAAAATAACTCCTATAATACGTAAAACGTCATCGGGCAGCCGAACTACTTACCCGCCGTCCGTAGCGCCACGCTACGGAGAGATTTCTATCGTCTGGACAGTATTATATAAATTATATATAAATTAGGTACTGTACATATAATTATATATTAATTATATATAAATTAGGTACTGTACATATAATTATATATTAATTATATATAAATTAGGTACTGTATATATAATTATATATTAACTTAATTTATTGTAACTTTATTATAATTAAATATATATTTTTCGCCGTCTAGCGTCACGCTACGGCGAGTTAGGCGACCTATCGTCTGTTTAGTACTGTAATTTTATACATTTCTTGTGAAAGAAACATTTCTTATTTAACGGCCATAAAAATTATTTATATTAATGATGTCTCCAAAGGTCAACGAAGTTTTCGCAGAAAAATAATATCAGAAATCGCGGCCGCAATTTGATGCGCTGTTCCGCGACGAAACCAAGCTTTAGCAACGGGCGTAGTCGAACGGTACACACTCGGTAAGCAATCCTACAATTTTTTGTTTATAACGTAGTTTATACGGATTATTTTCAAAAAAATATACGTATTTTGGAAATGTTGAGTCGAATTAGTCTAGAATCGATTAATTTTATGAAAGAAAACCTTTCAAACAGCCGTAGTCCGTAAACTATGATTCCTACAAAATTGATTCATAAAGAACGGAACGTATCTACCGTCTTATAGGGGATCTACTGTAATTAAAAATATAAAGCTTAATTTTGAGGGTATGGACGGATTTTATAAAGATTGTAAATGCTAATAACAAAATCATCATTAAATCCGATCCTACTGGAGATAAATGGAGACAAACTCCATTTATCTCCCCCATCCTGTTGACCTTTAACCAAAATTTAATAGCATTAATTCCCCTAATATAGAAGTCTCCCTGCAAAATTTCAGAAATTTTCAACAAAAAACATAGGAATTATTAAGCTTCAAAAAAGGGTGAACAAAATTGTGCCCTCCTAAAAACACAAACAAAAAAAACTTAAATTTTTTTGCATTTCTTGACATTTCAAGATTCAGAGTCTAAAAACATAATTCTTTGCACTTATTAAATAATAAGTGTGAAGTACTGTACTTGCTAAGTGTTTCAATGGATAAAGTAATCCATTCAGCTCCACATGAAACTTATTCATGTTCCTCCAATACCAATAACTCAAAATTTATCTTGTTTGTCATTTCCTAAATTTTTGTCTCTATCTAATCATACTTTTATCACAGCAACTTAAAATGGATTCCAACATCTAGATTTTATTTTTTAAATCTAAGTGTAAAGTAAATAGAGTTATATGTTATAAATCCCAAATGTTTGAGAAAAATACTAAGTAAATGTAATGTTTGAGAAAAATATTAAGTAAATGTAATATTGATAGCATTATTAGATTAAAATGTGTCACTCAAACAGCATAAATTTAGGAGAGTATTGATTTGAGTTAAAATTTTTCATTTATATATTCATGTATTCAACATTTATAATTCATGTGTACGTGTGTTTCATAACAAAAAACAAATTTTAATCTGTGTAGATATTTTTAAAATGGAAGATTTCATAAACTTTATTAAAGTGATTTTCATTATTACTGAAACAAAAAAAAAAAACAACACCAATTTCATGCTCCAAGAAATCCATAAATTTTGCATAAACTTCAATTTGTTACAATTTAGGAAAATTTTGTTAAAATTGTTTCTTATAGCAAGATATTTTTGACATTGTAATATATTAATATAAGTCAGGAATTAAAGAATTCCTTCATTACATTATTAATTAACAATACTTATATTAATAAGATATAAATTATTGTAATACTACTGTACTTACGGCACTTCGTTTAAGTGAGACACAGCCATGTGAGCAATATCATAATAAATGGCAGCTCTCATTACCATATCTAAAGAGGCAATTACTCCATAATTCTCAACACTATGTTCCATTACTAAAGGATCAGATACATTAGGATCAAACATAATGGCATTAGGAGTCACTATTAGAACACCACATACAACTCCCTGAAATCATTAAAATTTAGATGTAAAATTTTCAAAGCAAAAATTTTCTAAATAAAAATAGTTCATTATGTAGTTTTAAAACTTACTTGGCCATCTGTTATGTATCTTGATGATATTTTAAGGAATCTTGGAACAGATTCATTTTTCCCTGATTCTATATGACTATTTGATCGCTTATCATTTTCAGTTACAACTAAAGTTGTTTCACAGGATACAGGAGATTTTATTTTATTTTCACCCTTAATATAAAAATTTTAATATAAGTATTGAAAGAAAAGATTTTATAATTAAAAATTTATTGCTTAATAACATTTAGATTTACATCATTGTTTTTAATAAAATATTGTAAGGAACCAAGTCTGAGAATTATTTTTATTTTACTTTTAGTTTGCTTTTATTATATTTTTGTTTGGGGCTTATGTTTAGTTAGGACAAAGGTTTCCTCACCCATCACCCCAGAACGTTCAAAACGAGAAGATAAGAGATTAACCAACTCACCGACGACGAAACGACAGCGCCATAGCTAGCATTCGCACTCACGTGCACGCCCGAGCGGCAGAATTGTAAGTCCGCACNGCACTGATGCAAAAAATTTTTTAAGAAATCCACAGATTGTTTTTATTCACAAAATTAAATAATTCATTGCATTAGCAAATATGCTTACTTGCAACATTGTGACTTACGCATTGCATTGTCACATGTAATTAATTTATTTCAATAATTTAAACTGTGCAAATTGTAATGTAAATGTTCATTTCATAAGTGTTATTCAGGCATTGTGACAAATGCATTTATTTGATAAAATTATGAGAGTATAAGTTATAAAGTCAGTAACTTATGCAGTCAACATCTTGTGGTAAATTGCCAAATTTTTAAGTCCATGCATTATTTTTTTTCAATTGCTTCATTTCTCATACAGAAAACATTCCTGGTTAAAAACTCAATGCACAAGTATTTACATCTTTAGAAAGAAGACAAAATATAGGAATAAAAGATATAATTATAATTTCTAATGTATCCCAATAATTTCAGTTTGGAGTAAAGATTGACATCTGTGAAATCAAGTGTTCAAAGGAAGTTGACCTCATACAACTTCCAGAGGATTAATCATCTTTGCTGATTTCTTACTGTAATATGGTGTTGTGTTATCATAATGCAATAATAAAGATGGTTCTTCCATGTCCTACTTTGAATACTGTATGGGTCTGGAGTTCTCATAAGATTTCACAATACTTTTTATTGAATTTTTGATTCTTTCTTTGCATGATATCTTCTAATGCTCTAATTCAGTTACTGCCTTGTATGGAATGAGAAAGATGCATTTACGTTTAAACTTGATTGTTTTACCATGATGAAACATAAACTAAGACTTAATGATTACATCTGTATGTATGATCATTTAGTAATAATTAATGTTTTTATCTTGCACATTGAAGAATGGTGCATTAGAAAACCTTTTGTCAACAATTATACCTATTTATACACTATGAATATTTAAACTCTAAAATTTTTTTGCGTATATTTTTAATTATAAAATTTAGTTTAGCTTATTTTTAAGCCAGACAAATCTAAGATTTATATTTACAAAGATCTAAACCTTTTTCATTTTCTATACAGTACAGCATCAATTATCCGACCCCCGATCAAAAATTTAACAAAAATGCAAAATTTAACAAAAATAATATTAAAATATCCAAGACAGCCAAATATTGTAGTGCCACATCACTAGCAGACATTTGAAATTGCCGATGGTCGGTTAACCAATGTGACGGTTGATCGGGGGTCGGATAATTGATGCTGTACTGTATAGAAAATGAAAAAGGTTTAGATCTTTGTAAATATAAATCTTAGATTTGTCTGGCTTAAAAATAAGCTAAACTAAATTTTATAATTAAAAATATACGCAAAAAAATTTTAGAGTTTAAATATTCATAGTGTATAAATAGGTATAATTGTTGACAAAAGGTTTTCTAATGCACCATTCTTCAATGTGCAAGATAAAAACATTAATTATTACTAAATGATCATACATACAGATGTAATCATTAAGTCTTAGTTTATGTTTCATCATGGTAAAACAATCAAGTTTAAACGTAAATGCATCTTTCTCATTCCATACAAGGCAGTAACTGAATTAGAGCATTAGAAGATATCATGCAAAGAAAGAATCAAAAATTCAATAAAAAGTATTGTGAAATCTTATGAGAACTCCAGACCCATACAGTATTCAAAGTAGGACATGGAAGAACCATCTTTATTATTGCATTATGATAACACAACACCATATTACAGTAAGAAATCAGCAAAGATGATTAATCCTCTGGAAGTTGTATGAGGTCAACTTCCTTTGAACACTTGATTTCACAGATGTCAATCTTTACTCCAAACTGAAATTATTGGGATACATTAGAAATTATAATTATATCTTTTATTCCTATATTTTGTCTTCTTTCTAAAGATGTAAATACTTGTGCATTGAGTTTTTAACCAGGAATGTTTTCTGTATGAGAAATGAAGCAATTGAAAAAAAATAATGCATGGACTTAAAAATTTGGCAATTTACCACAAGATGTTGACTGCATAAGTTACTGACTTTATAACTTAAACTCTCATAATTTTATCAAATAAATGCATTTGTCACAATGCCTGAATAACACTTATGAAATGAACATTTACATTACAATTTGCACAGTTTAAATTATTGAAATAAATTAATTACATGTGACAATGCAATGCGTAAGTCACAATGTTGCAAGTAAGCATATTTGCTAATGCAATGAATTATTTAATTTTGTGAATAAAAACAATCTGTGGATTTCTTAAAAAATTTTTTGCATCAGTGCTTTCTCATTTACATTATGGAATCAAATGTAGTGAACATTATTATAACAACTATCATAATTTTATCAACTTCTATTATAATATAAATTTTATAAAAAACTTTACATCTATTCATAAACCAATATTAATTCATTGTTTGGACCAATGATTTTATATTGGTTTATACATTGACCTCATCATTTGAAAGTTAATTTAACTAGCATAGATTTCTTGCTAACATTAGTGCAATTTAACTTGAAATCGCAGTAATATTTTAATTTTAATTTAACTTTTTAATTTGTAGTTTAATATTGTTAAGCAATATAATTATTGTATATGTATTTTTATAAAATATATATAAAATGAAATACCTTTTCTTGTACTTTTGGCAGTGATGCTTGATCTGATTTATTTTCAAGTACATCAGCTTTTTTTGGTACTAAAATTTTCTACAGAAAATAAATTTTACACTAGAAGAAAATCATTTAAAATCTTATTTGCTACATATATTTATCATTTACTTAATTTTAACTAAATGTAGAATGTTATAAATCTTTATTTTATATATTATTTGCATTAACATTACATAAACATGATCATAATATGCAATATGCTGTTGTGTTCAAAATTTTATTATTATTTTACATTTTGCAAACAAAGCCCATTTGCAAAATGAAAGCATGCAAATAGTTAAGATTAATGTGCTATTGCAATGGTTCCCAATTAGTGGTGCGCGTACCCCGGGGGTACGCAAAATTGCATGAAGGGGTACACACGGCAATCTAAAATCGGTCAATTTAAAATTTAAATGCATGAGATGAAGCAATCAAAAAAATAATGGGTGGACCATCAAAAATTCAGCAATTTACAACATGTCATAAATAAACGAATTTGTGCATTCAACTAAAAATATTCTCAAAATTTCATTAAAAAAATGCATTTGTGACAATACCTAAATGAAATTCTTGTGGCAAGAAACAAAAACTGTACAATTAACACAATTTGTGTTAATTGTACAATTATCATTATCATCATGTCAGCGAAGCGCCAATAAAATATTTATTACCATTTTGCACAACATACCTCTGTGAGAGCGGATTTTTGGCCATGACAAACATGAAAACTAAACATCATCACTGACTTTAACTCAAAGATGACTCAAGACTAAAGCTGACCAAAAAGCAACCAGATTTTTCAAAGTTGTGCAAAGAAAATCGTGCACATTTGTCACATTAAAATTAAATAACCTTATGTTATTTTCATTATTACTAGAATTGTATTTTAAAAATAATAAATGTAAAAAAAACTTATTCTATTTATTACTAGCTGTCTACCCACAGCTTTGCCCGCATTATATCGAATTTTCTTGTTGGAGTAAGATATTTTCTTGCAGTAAAATGTAGCCCATGTCCATCTCCAACATGTAAGCTATCTCTGGGCCAAATTTTATTAAAACCTGTTCAGTGGTTTAGATGTGAAAAGGTAACAGACAGACAAATACAATTACCTTTGAATTTATAATATTAGTATGGATTAATATAAATTTCTGCTGTAAGCGGTATGCGAGTTTGAGCTCTTTCTTGAAGTTGTATGCAGGAAAAACTAATTGGGAACCACTGCTATTGGGTAGCCATTTAATTTCAATTAATAATATTAATTAATTAATTAATGATCAATAAATTGACTGAAATACAAGGGTTAAAAGCTGCTGTTTACCTATTAAGAAGTGCCAGAATCTCTACTTTATGGTCAATAACAAGGTTCTCCATTAAAATTTGTCCTATAACAGAGGAATTAATGGAATAGATTTTAATAGAGAATCTTATTATTTCTTAATGTGTGTCCCTTATTTTTATGCAAATAAGTTCAAAAACTATCATTTGAATAAATTTTTAAAAAATTTGTATAATAAAGATATATTTACATAATGTTAATTTAAATTTATACATTTTTTTTAATTTGGTTTTATAAAATTATTTGTAGCTTGTGACATCTAATATGGGGCTGCTATTACAAGAGGGTGCACAGCACAATATAAATTAATGCTTTTAGCAAAACCAGTGCAGATCAAAACATTATATGAAATCAAATTATATTAAGGTTGTGTGCCACACATCCTCCTGTGACAGCACTCCCATATTAAACACCATGAATCACCAGTGTATAATATAATAACTAGAATAAGATCTATACATAGATTTTGAAAATTAGTACCATCCAGTATTGATGTATAAGCTTTGCATCTATTTTTTTCAGTAAAATAAAATTTATGGTACAGTAGGACCCCTCTAGTCCGCCCTCGGCTAGTCTGTCACTCTGGTTAATCTGACCGTGGTCGGAGTTGAGAAACTTGTCCCGACTCGTCAGTGACTCACTGTCCGTGGCATTCTTCTGTGTTTGTTACAGTATATGTTTTACATTGTGTGTACATGTACAGTTTTGTGTGAGGGGCTAAGCTGGGGATACCGAGTGGTAAGACTCTAGTATCACTTACTCGGCAACTATTCTCTAGAATAGCCCTCTGTTTGTCTAAAAGAATGGCTTTTCCTAATTCAAGGAAATCAAGTGCGGAGGGCTTTTAACTAATATGTTAATTTAAAGCGGAATTTTGATAATCGCATAATCACCTTTTCCTTACGTCAAGAGTCCCGACACCAGTTAATCACTTATTTTATACGCGGATTAACAGGTGTTATCCCGAAACTCAAATATCTAACATTAATATTAAAGAAGCCATATTTATATAACAAATCAAAATATTTAATGGATCAAAAATATGAAAGTATACAGAAGAATAACTAAACCTAATCTTAACTCTAATTTTTAACCTAAGATTACTTCTAAACCTAACGCATGACAGAGTGTTCACATCAATTTATCTTTGGTCATATTACCTTTGTATCTTTTTCTATATCTATTTGAGTGTCTTCTTCCTATCTTGATTATTTCTCTAAGATTTTCTTTGGAAAGTCCTTTTAAATCTTCTCTTGTATACTTCGAATGTAGTACTCTATCATAAGACAAAATCGTATGACAATCTTTCTTTTATGGACTGCCTCTATCGTATGTCAGATTTCTCTGTATGACAATTCCTTTCTTCACCACACTGCCTTTATCGTATGTTGGACTTTCTTCATGTGGCAACCTTTTTCCAACAGACTGCTTTGATGGGTGGGAAATCATTCCTTTTATTTGCTCCTCAGTAACATGTGCAAAAGCTTGACTCATCATGAGTTGGCCTGGGAAAGGAAATCAACTTCCTTTCAAAATCGGATGTTTTTCCATTTTTTTTAGAAACTTTGTTAAAGTTGAAAAATATTAATTTATTTTAATTTTTCTAACCTTTTCTTCAACTTGTTATTTTGATTAAAATGACCCTCCCCTAAATTTCCAGATTCTCACATTTGTGTGTGTTTTCAACATGTCAGGAGTAAAATGTAAACACATTACTCTTTCATTAAATGAAAAATTAGCAGTGCTACAAAGACTGGACAAAGGGGAAAATTGTTTATTTTACTTTTTTCTGATAATCAGACCTTTTTTGCATTCTGACCATACCCCAGTCCCAAAGGTGATGGATTAGAGGGGTTCTACTGTATATGAATTTATATAATAAATAAAAAAACTTAGGTTTTCTTACAATTAAAATGAGAAATTATAAATTGATCAATAATTATATTCCGAACATCTGAACATGTAAGCCGAACAATAGTGTGAGGGGAGTGAGTAATCAAGAGTTGCGTGGCACTCAAACAAAAGAAGAATTGACGAGATTTGAAAATCGCGTAACTCCAGGTTCGCGTAAGTCGGGGTATCACTGTATTAATAATTAACGACATTCAAAATGCATATGCATTTAAGCAATTATTCTTTACTTCAATCCTTGCAAAGATTGTTACAAAAATTCTTATGGTAAAAATTTATTAAATTGTTTGCCTAAATATTTCAAAAGTTATATTTTGTGTTAATGATAATTTTTATCTCATCTTTAACTAAAAAAAAATTCGGCAAAAAGATGCATAACTTTCCAGTAAAAGATATTTATGTTTAAGGAATACTAAGACATTTTAAAACAAAGTTAAAATTGTCTGTGGTGCCATTTGTTACCAAAATTATTATTATTGATGGAACAATACCAAAATTTCTCCTGATTCCAATTGTGCCAAAAAGCACCGATTCAGATACTTTTGAATAGTTTCTAAACTATTTTTGTTTAGGAAAATTAATGATTTACTATTTATTATTGCTAATTAATAAATTTGATAAAGTAATTAAAGCAAATTTATCAAAAACTTTTTAAAATTTATAACAAATTTTTCAAATTGCAGGCAAACAAAAAAAATTTTTTTTTTCAATTCTCAATCATAATGAATAAAACTAAATCAAATCTTATTTTATAATATAGAAGTGATATTAATATAAAGTTCAATTAATAACTCTTTTCTTAAATTAAATATTTAAAAATGAAGTAAAAATGCATTTGTTTCATATTAATTAAAAAAAAATTATAAAAAGTTGTTAACATTGTTTGTAAAGAAGCTAATATATGTCAGAAATTATGCACAGTACATAATGTTAAAAAGATATAACAGCAATATTTTAATTTATAGAAAATTTAAAAAGGAGAGAGATACAAACAAGTAAAAATTTAAACAAAATCTTTCAATGTTATTATAGAAAAAAATTAAATTTAGACAATTTTTTCCCTCTCTCCAAGATATATTCTTTTATTCTAGCAATATTTCAACAACTTTTTATAAGAGCTGCAAATATATATAATTCAATTAATGAAGATTATTAAGATGTTTTATAGTTGTTTAAAATTCAAATATTACCTGTCCAGGAAAAATCAATCCACAAGTCAATTTGTTTAATTTTGTTAATTCTGAAGGTGTAGTATCAAATCTTGCTGCAATTCCAAGCAACGTGTCAGAAGATGAAACCTGCCAACAAATTTGTTACTTTAGTAATAAATACATAAACATTAATGATATAATTGTCAGGAAAAAACTTATCAAGTTATCACAAACAAAATTTGATTTTCTTTTATATTTTATTATTAATTTAGAATTAAAATTTTTATATTAATGTATGTTTTTTAATACGGTATTACATTTTAACACAATATTAGTTGATTCTAGATACTAATTCAACAATTATCAATAAAGAAAAACTCAATAATTTCTTTCAGAAGACGGACGATATGCTTGCTATGTTTATTGTAAAAATATACAGAAATTTATACACTACAAAATATTATATTAAACTTTAAATTAACAAGGATATTAATTATTTAAATAATTTATTATAAAAATGGTTCTAGATATACAAAAAAAACAAAAAATTTTATGAAATTTGAAAAACTTATGCTGGAGAAGTTCTTAATAATAATTATAATGTTTATTTTTACAAGATTCTATCTTAACCTTAGGGTTTTAACGGCTTTCTTTTATGGTTGTCAAAAATGTTTTCACACAAGTCTATCTATTTAGGACTGGGTTTGTTGTGACTTGCTAGGCATTTTAGGAGGTATATATGTCGCAGGGATATGATAAAAGTGGGGATTTGGTCAAATCCCTAAGGGAGATGATCAATTCACTAAAGATGTTAAAATGACAATTCTATAGTGTCATTTCCCTAAAAAACTAAGTGATCTGATCAAATCCCTGTACTATTTTAGTGGAAAGATAAAATAAACAAGTCAGGACTTGCATAGCATTCCTTGTGCTAGTTATCCGCCTTCTCGTTCCTTCAGCAGACTCATTGCCGGCGACCTCTGGTGCATGCAGTTGCACAAATCATTACGTCACAATAGTCACACACATTTATATTTTATTTTCCTTGTAATTTGTACGATTATCAAAATAATGGCTTTGAATACAGGACAAAATCAGTGACTGTGTGAAGAACAGTTCAATGAAATTATCAGGATGTGTTTGAGCAAGCAGCATGATAAAGAAAAACTGTTGTGGACTCACAAAAGAATAGAAGACGCTATCACAGCCATTAAACAATTTAAATTAGCACCAGTACTTAGGTTTCAACGGACAAATACACAGTATTACTATGGAAAAAAAATACAATCTAATGGAAGTAGGTATTAAAAAATCTTTGATTTTGAAGAGAAAGTCTGACTCCAATCCAGTTGTGAAAATAGTGCCTGCAGAAGAATTTTATCACATACTTCGGGAAACCCAGTCTAAAAAAATTTCCAAGAAAAGAAATCATCGTTTGCCCAATTGTGTCTTGCAACTTCAACCATCGCGGCCAAGTGCATTTAGTTGATTTGTAGTCAACCCATGACAGAAATTACAAATGGCTATTACATTACCAGGATCACGCGACAAAATTCAGCTTTCTGCAGCCAATGACTTCGAAAAGAGCAGCTGAAGTAACAATGGAGCTATTAAAAATCTTTCTGGAAGTAGGTTGGCCTCATATATTGCAAAGTGACAACAGCCGTGAGTTTACAGCTGCTGTCATACAAGAATTGACATTCCTGTGGCCAACGTGTAAAATTGTAAATGGTAGGCCTAGACATCCAGCAAGCCAAGGATCTGTTGAGTGATCGAATCAAGATGTCGAAGCTATGTTATGTGCTTGGCTTATTGACAATGACAAATAATTGGGTTACAGGTTGTTACTTTGTTCAGTTTCAGAAGAATTCCTCCTTTCATTGTACCATTCAACAATCACCTTACAAAGCCTTATTTGGAACAGAACCAAAAACTGGATTCCAATGTATTCATATTTTAAAGGAGTTGCTTGAAAAGCTTGTTACTGAAGAGGACTTGGATCAGCTTCTTAAACAGCAACATAGTGACAACACTGACATCAAAGAATTTACCAGCAATTCAATTAATGAACAATGATGATGCTTCAACATCAGAAGTTAATCCAGAAGCTGAATTAATTAACTACAATGCTTCAACTTTAAATTTAGAGGATCTACTAGCAACTGAATCAACAACACAGCTCAAACCAGCTTACAACTCTACAACACCTGTACCGCCAGTTAAAACATCTGTACTATTAATAAAATCAAAAACAGAAGCAGTTGACAGCAAAGTAAAACTACATAGCATTGTTTGTGGAACAGAACCTACTGGAGCCCATTCATGCGACATTTGTAAAAATCCAGTACACACAATATGTGGAAATAGCATAGGAGAACGATATGGATCGAAAATTTTATGTTACTTATGCCAAAAAGAAAAGAAAATTATAGATCAAAGGAAACATGCCGCAAAATATCTAAAAATATCAGCTGAAAAATGGAAGATTTCTCATTAAAAAAATTTAAGGACATGTTAGTGAATTCCACAGTTTTGGTTGATGTACTGTACCTAAGGTAGATAGAGGTCCATTAGATGGAAATAATATTACAGGGATAGTATTAGATAAAAAAATGGTTTATACCAAATTGAAACTTCAGCTGGACTTATAAAAGATTGGCTTCCTAGAAATGCTCTTCAAATAGCTACAACTACATTTATCGAAACCATCCCACCGATAAAGCTAAGTTTGCGAGAAATTGCTGGAAAATTATCTTTATTTGGAGGTCAAGTGTTTAAGAAATGTTCCTGTGAAAAATCCAAGGTACAATGCAAAACAAATAGATGTGCTTGTAAAAAAAATAATGTCCTCTAACTCCAAGTACCACAAATCTGTTTCAATAAAAATAAATAAACTTGGAGTTATCGCTATCTTTTCATATAAGTATTTCTTACTTTGTTGATTTGTTTTTTGTTATTTCATGAAACCAGTTTAGAGATTTGATCAAATCATTTAATTTAATTAGGGAAATGTTAAAATAAAGGTTCAATATTGACATCTTCAGTAAATTGATCATCTCCCTTAGGGATTTGACCAAATCCTCGCTTTTATCATATCCCTGCAACATATAACCTAAAACACCTAGTGAGTCACTAGTGAGTATATATATAAACAGGTCTCTAATTTAAGAGTTAATGTTTGTACTTTTTACATTTATATGAATTTTTAAATGAAAAAACAGCAATTATAATTTCAATAATTTATTATACAGAATTCAAAAAACTAAATTTCAATTATAAAAACTTACCGTATAGTTCACAGTTTCAATGGGTTGACTAAGAGTATGAGTAAGAGGTTTTTTTGGAAGAGATTCACTTTGTTCTGAAAAATTAGAATTTACAAATTATTAAATCATAATTAAAAAAGACAAAATTTAAAAAAATATTAATTAAAACAATTTTAACAACTTTGTGAGGATCAGAAATTTCGTATTATAAACTAAAATTTTTATGTTTAATAAACTTTATAAAGACGGAACGAGAAAACAGAAAAATAAAAGAGAAAAAGGAAAAATAATAAAAGAGAAAAAGGAAAAATAAAAAAAGAGAAAAACCTCGATTCCCACAAGTTGGGTTCCTTGTTGAGATGAGTACATTTCTAAGTCACGATTGTGTCACCCGTCACCTCATTGGACCAAGACGATCGTCATCGCTGACGAAATCGAGGAAAGGTTAGAAAAAGAGGACTTGATATAAAAGGGACAGGCACAATGAGTAAGTGTGTGGAAGTTATTATTTGTGTGTGTGTGTGTGTGTGTGTGTGTGTCGATCGTTTACCTCCTGCCGAGATTCCTGAACATCAACCAACACCTCCTCCTCGCCTACAAGACTAGAAGACCTCAACTGAACTCAACACCTGCTCAACTGAAAAGAACTGTTGGACCTTTTTCATGCTGGTACTTGATCATCAATACAACCTAAGGTATTTATCCTGCCTGCACACTATTGTACGCTCTCTCTCTCTCCGCGTAAACTAAACGCGAAACCGGTTGTAATTAGAACTAGAAAATGATCAATAACTGAACACAATTCATGTAGTTTATGTTCACATTTTATTCACTGATGTAAACCTACGTTAGATTATATATAAACAAACAGTTGTTTATGTTTAAAACTTCTTGAGTGTAGTTTCTTCCATTTTTCTCTCTGTTCCGGGTCCAAACCTCATACCTATCCGCTCGCGCGAACTTGTGGTCTCTGTATCGACCAAAGGATACAGTGGTGTCATCCTGACGTGGTATCGAAGAGATACCGATCCTATGGTCACAACTTTAATAGTTAATGAAAATAAACACTAAATTTAATTTTGAAATGAAATTTTCAAATGTGGATAATCACACAACACAATCTGCATATACAAATGTTGTATTTTTTCTTAAAAATGGTGCAACATCTTAAGAAATTTGAGCACAAATGCATTTTTGTTCAATTGTTAGCAAATGAAGCATCCATCTTGCAACTAGTTCTCATATATAATTCTTCAGTCAAAATATAAAATGCTAATACATTTCAGATGCTAACAGCTTTATCAACATTGGATCCTTCAACTGTCAGGCTGCGTACACACTAGGCGTTTTAAAGAACCAAGAGTTATACTAAAGCGCCCGAAAAACGCGCGTTTTAAGAAAAATCTATAAATGCGCATTTAACGCACGCTTGGCCAAAAGCGCACATTTGAGTGTGTATGCCTATTAGAACTCTTGGTTCTTTAAAACGTGCATTTAAAAACGCCTAGTGTGTACACAGCCTCAATGTTGCAAAATCATATAATGAACTTTTTTAATTATTTCTGGTTTTGATGCACTTTTCAGATGTCCACTGTAAGGATTATCTTTCAGGCTTTCATGACCTTGTTTAAATTCAGTAGTCCACTTGGAAACATTTGAAAATGAAGGAGCAGAGTCCTCTAAAGTATTTGTCTGTATGAATTTTTTGCCAACAAATCTTTTGTAACAATATATTTAATAATTGCATAAGTTCAATTTTTTTTTCATTTTGTAAACAGTGCAATACATAATTAATATGCTTTCTTACCACACCGGGTTGTATAACTTCACAACCAACAACTGCCTACCCTTAACCATTAACCGGTGCGAAATTCTTTAAAATCGGCGAACATTTTCGATTCCCCTCCTGGGATCTTCTTCAGGCTTACTTCTTTATATCTTTCGTTATAACCGGATTCTTTAATTCGAATGTTTTAAATGGTTTATACCAAATTGAAACTTCAGCTGGACTTATAAAAGATTGGCTTCCTAGAAATGCTCTTCAAATAGCTACAACTACATTTATCGAAACCATCCCACCGATAAAGCTAAGTTTGCGAGAAATTGCTGGAAAATTATCTTTATTTGGAGGTCAAGTGTTTAAGAAATGTTCCTGTGAAAAATCCAAGGTACAATGCAAAACAAATAGATGTGCTTGTAAAAAAAATAATGTCCTCTAACTCCAAGTACCACAAATCTGTTTCAATAAAAATAAATAAACTTGGAGTTATCGCTATCTTTTCATATAAGTATTTCTTACTTTGTTGATTTGTTTTTTGTTATTTCATGAAACCAGTTTAGAGATTTGATCAAATCATTTAATTTAATTAGGGAAATGTTAAAATAAAGGTTCAATATTGACATCTTCAGTAAATTGATCATCTCCCTTAGGGATTTGACCAAATCCTCGCTTTTATCATATCCCTGCAACATATAACCTAAAACACCTAGTGAGTCACTAGTGAGTATATATATAAACAGGTCTCTAATTTAAGAGTTAATGTTTGTACTTTTTACATTTATATGAATTTTTAAATGAAAAAACAGCAATTATAATTTCAATAATTTATTATACAGAATTCAAAAAACTAAATTTCAATTATAAAAACTTACCGTATAGTTCACAGTTTCAATGGGTTGACTAAGAGTATGAGTAAGAGGTTTTTTTGGAAGAGATTCACTTTGTTCTGAAAAATTAGAATTTACAAATTATTAAATCATAATTAAAAAAGACAAAATTTAAAAAAATATTAATTAAAACAATTTTAACAACTTTGTGAGGATCAGAAATTTCGTATTATAAACTAAAATTTTTATGTTTAATAAACTTTATAAAGACGGAACGAGAAAACAGAAAAATAAAAGAGAAAAAGGAAAAATAATAAAAGAGAAAAAGGAAAAATAAAAAAAGAGAAAAACCTCGATTCCCACAAGTTGGGTTCCTTGTTGAGATGAGTACATTTCTAAGTCACGATTGTGTCACCCGTCACCTCATTGGACCAAGACGATCGTCATCGCTGACGAAATCGAGGAAAGGTTAGAAAAAGAGGACTTGATATAAAAGGGACAGGCACAATGAGTAAGTGTGTGGAAGTTATTATTTGTGTGTGTGTGTGTGTGTGTGTNTTTTGATAAATTAAAGATTTATAGGACAAATAAGTTTAAAAAATTCCTAATTTTAATTTTTTTAGGAAAAAAACAACAAATGAAAAAGTATTTTATGCCTAAAAATTTCTTTTCAGAGAAGGAAAAAAAAAGCAAACTAACCAAAAGCAAGGTTAAAAATAGAAGTGAGAGGGGAAAAAACCTTTTTTTACCTTCCTATAATTATGCAAACTTAGAAAATAAATCTCTCCTTTTCTTTTTGTCTCTTTTTAAAGAAATGATTATTGTAATTGTAATAATTTTGCAATAATCTAAGAAGACAATAAGAATATAAAAAATTAAGCCAAGTAAATCTCCTTGACTGATATCTCATGAATAATTAATTCACATTTATAATATATACAGAAATTTACAGATAAAATAATTAAAACTGATTATCAAATGCCAACTATATAAAAGTTAATACTTTTGAATGAAATATTTTCTTTTATCATGCAAAACTTAAAAGATTTACTATTGAAATTTTGAATTTATGGAAGTAACTTCTACCAATAGGTAGACTGAATACCGTGTATTGGAACTGCTATTGTAACAGGCTAAGGCCTAGTATGAATAAAGGTTATTTGAATACTGTGTAGTATGAATAAAGGTTATTTGAATATGTATGTCAATATAAAAAATTCTTATCTATAAAATTGTGTTGTCTTTTTGTAGAAACTTTAAAAAGATTTTCAATAATTATAGAAGCCATTTCAATATTTTTTAAATACATAAAATCAACAATAATCAAATGAAGTCTTAAACCATTTTTGAGTAACTTTTTGAGTAATGGTAAATTAATTTGTAAACAGATAATTTTATTGTTTCCAAAGTTTAAACATTAATATCAACATTTACTTGGCAGATTTCAAGCATTTAGATTATTTACTGTATTGTTTTCCTTTTCAAATACAAGTGTATTGGATATTTTTCATTAATATTTTTTCTCCAAAAAATTGACTTCATAGTATAGATCACGGGTTCCCAACCTATGGGTCGCGACCCAGAAGGGAGTCGTGACAGGCTTTCTGTGGGGTCGCCAACTTATACAGTAAACTAAAAAAAAAATATTTACTATAATGCAATTTTTATTTTTAATGGTATCTTGAAGTTTGAATAATTTCATATACAGTCGATTCCCCTATAACACGGGTTCCTATAGTTCGGATTCCTATATCACGGCGAAAAAAATGCGACAGTATTCGTACAAACATGCTAAAAAAACCTCCTATAATTCGGTAAAACGTCATCGCTGACTCGTGTCGCGACAGGATTTCACAAACCGTTGAGTTTAAACGAGCAGCGGATCTACTAAAATCCATTTATTATTTAACGTCCATAA